TTAGTGTGATGTATTGAAGATAATATTAGTGTTATCGTCGCTTGGGACTCAATTCCCGCGCGTGCGCAGGTGACGACCCTCCCGCTTTAAATACAGGTGTGACATTTGACAATTTTAAAGCGGAAATAAACATACCTTCCTGCGGTGCGAGCGATATATTACATATAAAGCAAAGAGGAATACTGAAGTTCTTTTGCACGATGTAGTAGCAGTGGCAAGTAACTTTTTGTTTATCGACTGGTTTCTGAATTTTTAGAAATCCGTCAGTTTATGTTTGAAGTCAGCTGCACCTCGGATGATGGCGCTTCTGATCATTGCTGTAGAGCGAATAAACGTTATTCAAATTTGGAATGTTTGTTGCATTAGTGTTCAGTATTACCATAATACACTGAAGACGGAAAGGTTGTAGATAAATGATTGTTGTTTACTATGTGAGTATTTCCAAAGACGTATTTGTAGACTGCCGTATATCAGCCGTTAATTCAAGTTATCTACAGAGGGCCCCTTATCAATCGCGTCTGTCAAGCGTGTCGTATGCGCCCAATCTCCCAGGCAGAGTTCTATTTCTACGAATATATTCGGTGTTCTGGCCGCAAGGATCTCTGGGAAGGAGAATGGTATGCGCCTTCAGGCTGGTTAGTATACAGACAAGACCACGAATTAACTTGCGGGTTTTTTCGTTATGAAACTAGATTCAGTAAATTGGACAACCTTTTCTGAAAGTCTTCTTTTTTCTTGCGATGAGAATAACCACTGTGCAATTATTTTCATTTTTAGAGATGTGTTTAGAGTAATACAATGTCGAACGATTAGGAAATCGACGGTCGGTCTTATCTGACACGTAAATGAAACCAGGCTGTGCCAAATTTTGGTGATAGAGGGACTGTGGATGATCATATGTACGACGAAATGTTCACTTCTGTTGACGTCCCTTAAATATAATGAATTCATGGCAAATAAGACCAGACTTTTATTATCCATTGTTTCGCGAACCCGCCGAATGAACAGGAGCCGAAAATGAAATAAAAATATAATCTTATTTCAGCGTAATTTCTCGCGCCCGCCGACTTGTAAGCGCAAAAAAAATGCTTAAAAAATATTATTTTTATCTTCATTGTTTTACCGAAGTCTCGCGCAGATGAGAAACAAGGTTATACATAGAATAAAATTTTATTTCATTTCTTCTCTCCGATCAATGATCTCACTTACAATTCTTTGAGAATCACACAAATCTAATGGAAAAAAAAGAATAAATTTTATTTTTTTCCGCCCTCCTCAAAAAAATTGCCTTATAAAAACCTGCGAAACAAGGAATAAAAAAGTCTTCCCTAACTGGGTATACGGAACTGACAGCCAATGTTTGGACTGAAGATATTTGAAGCCAAGCATTGCCATTTGTCACACTGAATTGGGCAAATAAAATATGTTGATATCGTCTTATCATGTTCCAAATGTTGGAACTGTTGAGAATATACAATTGTGAGTGCAGGCACAAATGGAAAGGGTGCTTTTAACTATGCCATGTTTACGTTTCATCGCTTTATCACCAGGAGTGCTACTTATTGGAAATGTGCATCGCGAGGCGGTATCAACAAAATATGGGCATAACCCTGTGGTAGACTTCAGTGTCGTACGTAAATATTTAATAGAAATAAATTGAAACCAAACAAATCAAATAACATAAACCAGATATGTTACTGGTTATCGCTGACGACACATCTAGAATTTCCTCCAACACGTGCACATCTTCCAAGACGACGTCCATTTCTTTGCCAGTTTTCGTAAACACAACGTAGTACTTCTCTTCTTCGGTCAATGACCCTAAACTGAGAGTAAGTGAATCATGGTCGTCTTGTTCGCCTCCGAAACCGTCGCTGCATGTAACTGGTGTAATTGTTGCTTTTACACCGTACGAAGGACCACTGTCTATAATATTGAAGTTGTAACAATCAACGCTCGAAACAGTACCGGATTGTCTCGTCTGACTGACGTCATCGTTTCCAGTGTTCGGTTCCAGGTACACCGAGCCGTCTCGATCAATATACAACTTCACGCCTCCAACCACGGTATTCTTGTTGCTTACGCCTCTACTTCGAATGTACACTTCCAGTCCAGACCCTTGTCCCGCGGTGATCTGAACATCTTTAGGGGCAAATTGGACTCGGCCTTTAATTTCAATCGACGCCTGGTCCGGTATATACTCTCGCCTACTCTCGATAAAACCACAGTGATGCGAGCCTGATAGTCCGGCTCCTTCCGTGCTTATGTAAACGTGGTCGCTCCTAATTCCGGTTGTTACACCCCTCCACAAATGATACTCCCATAGTTTTTCAGTTTCTACTGTAACGTTCTCATATTTTTCCAAGGCATCCAAAAACTCATTTCTGATTCGGTCAGGTAGGTCGTAATAAATTCGCTTCACATCGCCGTGTTTACGCAGCGCCACCAACCCGTTCACGTCCACGGGGTCTAGAGTGCCGTGCCAAACAGTGATCGAAAACCTTTCCCGTAACCCTAACAACCAGATAAACTTTGGCCATGACGTTATCACCCACAATGCTCGGACTGGGAAGGTAACCGGGTTTTTCAGCGGATAACTATAGCGTAAATTGTCGTAGATCATCGTCCAAGTGTACATGTCATCATCCAAAAACGGCAGAAAGAACGTGGTCCACCCGAGCGACATCACAGTGAACGGAAACCCCAGGTTACAAGACGTGATGAATTCGACCGGTGGAATCGGTTCTTTGTTGGAATTAGGCCCCTCTACGATATCCGCATTGACCCACAGTGGTTGGTGGATTCTCGCTTCCATGTCTCTTACCATCTGCATGGAGATATCTACAGCATTTATATCTTTAAAGTCTAACTTCATACCCTTGTCTGTCTCGGTAATTCCATACAACCACTCCGCCAAAGTGATGTCGCTGTATACCAGGGGTGGGTGCGCCATTACGGGCGTGTCTGTTTCGTTCTCCGTGCCCATCCCTTCTAATACAATATCTCCCTCTAACATCATCGTGTCATCTGTTTGAAGAAAACAAACACGAGATATAAAACTAGGATTATGGTAAACACATACTAGTAGGCAATGTGGCGAACTGAAAATTATAATAATATCGTAGTGTAGACTACTTTATTTTCAGTTGGAATTTATTTTTAGATGAATCCCTAAAAATAAAATACCATTTTTTTATATTTCACATTCAACTCATCAACAATCAGTGCAAATAAACTTCACACAAAACAACCAAATGAAAATTAATTCCAGCTAAAATAAAGTATTTCACAGTATAAAATATATGAGAAAAACAAAATCCACCTATAATTACCGTTGAGGGCGTCATATAGTTCTTCCTTACTGTTGACGCCATGGGCCCATATAATGTTCAGACCATCTCCCTCAGCTTCTTCAAAATAATCTACAATATTGACCATTGTATTGGTACTTAATTTTTCCCCTCCTGTAAAATCAAAATGCGTGTTACTTCATACAATTAACAAAGATCCGCCTTGAAATCAGTTGTAAAAAACTGAGGTTTCCGTTGATATGAACATCTCGTTCGAGTTTGATGCAACAATACATCGTAAGATGTCTGTCATACTCAATATATGCAAGTCTGCTGTCCAAAAATAGTCAATAAATCACCACAATGTCATTTCTGAGCCAAATTGTACAACCATCTTAGGATATACAATGTGTTGCTACCGGTCGAAATGAGCTAGCAAGGTTTATTTAAAGCGAGATGGTCATCACCTGCGCATGCGCGGGAATTGAGTCCCAAGCGACGATAACAACACACGCTAAAAACGCAAAGGCTCATGGGTAGACGCTTGTTTGTAAACATTGACACGCTATGGCCATCTGACGCATGCGCAGGTGACGACTCCCCGCTTTAATGGTTGTTAGTAAAAAAGTGACCTAACCCAACCCGACCTTGTAAGTTAAATAGGACAGGTTATGAAAAAAATACTTAGATTTTGACCTTTGATTTGTAGAATAACGGTTAATAGATAAGAATGACGACAGTTGTGTCGCTATTACATTGGCATTGAAAACCGATTACCAGGTTTTCCATTGGTGCTTGGCTTTCCTAGTGATATTTTATCGAGATTAATAAACACAAGGACTCCTACACCAAATGGCACAGTCCAATTCATGACTGTCATCTCGGATTTTTTCATCAAGACTTCGTACGCGGGTATGTTTTTTTTTTTTTTTTTTTTTTTGGCGGGATGACAGACGTAGGGAGGGTGATGTGAACTCCGTTTTTTAGGATTTGGAGTATTGTTTATGGCAGACTGGAGGTAACGAGGGTGGAACTGGCAATCTACTCTGTCCCTGTCACCTCATAAAAATACCATGTACCTGCTGAATAAATAAATAAATAAATAAATACACGGACGCAAACACGCTGCAAAATAAGTTGAAACAAATGATTTTTTTTAGGAAACATGGGAAATAGTTCATTATTCACCAATCTTGTGTGATCGCATCATTTACCAAACTCGTTCATTACCTATTAAGCTGTCTATACATATTGGACAGATTTCAAGTTTGTTAGGGGAAGCTAGGGCTATGTGTTTATGAGTAACAACGGTTGTTGTGGGAACACACTTCCGAAACCCGACGATAATATATAATAATGGTCTGTTTCATTTTTATATCAACGGTAACGCGAAACATGAATGTTCACCCGCTTGGTGGCGTACTAGGTCATGCTCGTCAAAACTTAGTAACACCATCCATAGTTCAACGCAAAACTAAGACGCTAAGTAACACAGAAATCCAATGTTGTGCACTTTCAGAACCTACCTGTCACCGATAACGTAATTACGACCAAAGTGAGATACAACTTGTTGAAAGACATGTCGGTTGTTCATATATGTGTGTCCGAATACATCCAGCTCACCGATTCGACAACAAAGTGCGATGGTCCAATTAACCAAGAGAGATAGAGAAGACCAATATGTATTGATGTTGTCCCGGTACGGAATGGTTGCTATGACGCGCATCAAGTGTCGCTATATTTACGGGTAGTAACTGATAAGCAATGTTTTCAACTAGAATTACAATTATTTGTTCAAAGTCGACTTCGGATGTTTTTTGTTTTTGTTTTTTCAATGAGAACTTGAATAATTCTAAGTTGAATGCAAATGGAGAGCAGCCTAAGACTGACTACTAACTACGTACGTATACTTGTAGCCAATCGGATTGCTTGACTCCTCGCACTGCATGCCGGAAAGGGTCACGTATAGTACACCGTTCATAAGTTTACCGTGTACCGGTGTTGTGGACTGTATGCAACAACTTTAACTCACAATATGTTGTTGTTCTCATGTAAACGATATATGACAAAATGAAGCGAATCCTGGAATAGTATAAGCAAAGATTAAAATACATATGTAGAGGCTGAACGTATGAATAAAGTACATTTTGTCTCGAACCGACAAATTCTGTGACACTAAAGACAAATCTGAGCTAAATTTCTGAGAATTTTGATAAGAGCAGGATTGATAAAGGTCATGGTTTTAATGTTGCATTCCCGATGTGTATGATCCTTCTCAATGTACCCCTGTAAAGCATTATAAGAAATTTGGATTTTGTACAGCTAATGATAAATCATATCAGAAATCAGAATTTCAACTGGCCATGTAAGAATAAAGCAAGTCATGCAAGCATTACATTATACACATGTAAATGTCCCCGTCGAGTGATTATGACAATAACACCACCATGACTTTGTTTCTTTCGAGTGCAAGCTAACTTCAATAAGTTGATTCCTTGAATTTGTAGCTAAATCAACTGATTTTATAATTTTTCACGGTGATTCCAATAATGTGTTCTGCATATTTTGCCGGAAGTGTAGCTTTAATCTAGTCAACGGTTTGTGGCCTATGGCATACAAGCCTCAAACTAGCCGTGTCACGTGACAAGGCTAGCCATCATAAACCGACGACCAAAGCCTAGACCAACAATAAATACATAGATAGATAGATAGATAGATAGATAGATAGATAGATAGATAGATAGTTGCGGATAGAACTACAGTGCATTTTTTTTCTTTACCAAGTTTCGAGCTACATTTGTTTTTACGGTCTTGTTGTTGTGAATTTGTTGGGCCTTTCGTTTTCAGGTATGTGTGGGATTTATATATATATATATATGTATATATATTTCTTACAAATGTACGGATTTGTTTTCCTTCAAAATACACCATCTCCCCGATTTTTCTATGGCCCTCAAGCCCACAGTTTTATTCTGTTACAATCAAGAATTACTCAAATTTGGGATGATGTTATTTTTTGCCGGTGTTTGAAGCAATGTGATACTCTGACATGTTTATGAAACTCAGTCTAAATTATTTGTGTTTTAACCTATGTAAACGATTTATGCATTGATGTACAAGCGAATGAAGTAATCCTCAATGTTTACATTTGAAATAGGATCCATGGTTTTGTGAACACTCCGTGACACTTCTCCACGAGGATGGCCGAATAAACTGATCTGTTTGGCCTGGTGAAGATGCATCGGCTCCTTCCAATCAGAGTTCAGGCATTATTGTTTGGGAATGTAGATTTTAATTTTGTGTTGCTAAGCGCCCTCTACCGACGGACAGAATATGATCTAGCATCGCTAGAGGGCGCATGTTCTATGCTTTCCAAGACGTACCAGCCCGGCGTACCAGGTATTTCACGATTTAGTCGTGTTTTGGGGGTGAGATTATAATCCCCGTATTGAAATTGTCTATACTAAGTTATTTTCCAGGAAAATATCACCACATTATGGGTAATTAAACTTGATCTTCATCGTCGCAATCTGACATTTCATATCCTCGGGGGGCGGAGCTACGTCACAAGACGTTCCACGTTGCTAAGACGCGCACCACTGTACATGTATTTCTATGGGCTTTGTGCGCGCTGCTGTGGAACGCCGGTCGAGCCGGTGAAAATTCGAGAAAACAACACAAACTCAACTTTGAAGTAATCCTGAACAACCAAATTTATATATCTTACACACGTAGGGCTAATCTTGTTACACTGTTCAGGGGACTCTCAACAACCATTCCCAAGTACCGTTTGTTGCGAGTTTTTGGCCTTTGTTTTCACCTTGAGGGTTGCCAGGCGGTGAAAATGCCCGGATGTCCGCCCCCCCGAGGATACATGTATATTTTAGCCGAAATGGGTCTGTATTGAACGCGTCGCGTCTCGTATTGAATTCATACATGAACATAATTTGGCAGACAAAGCCACAAGAGCTTTATATGCAATGATGACTTCTGTGCCAAAAGAAACTGACTGCAAAACAATGTTACACCTATTCAAAACATGTATAAGACCAATACTATTATATGGATCAGATGTATGGGGCTTCGAAATTCAAGAAAATAATAAATGGGACATTACACCAATCGAGAAAACCCATCTGAAATTTAGTAAAAGAATGCTTGGATTGAATAAATTTTCATCAAATCTAGCTTGTAGAGCAGAAATAGGTGAACTACCATTACTAGTAGACATCAAAATAAATCTTATAAAGTATTTGGCACGGATCAAAGAACTTCCAGAATGTAATTTAACAAAACAGGCATACCATGAACAGATAAACTGCAAACTCCCATGGATTATGTCAATTTACAAAGAGTTAAATAAGGAAGATAACACATTAGATATAAAGAATATCAATGACAAATTGAATGCAACAAAACAAAATATAAAGAGAATAGGAAACAATATTAAACAAAAATATATTGAATTCTGGAAGGAGACAATTATGGATAAACCTAAGTTGAGAACATATACTCAATTCAAAACAAACTACAACTTTGAAAGTTACTTAATTATACTGAATCTAAAACATAGAATTTCTGTCTCTAGATTCCGAACAAGTAATCACAGCCTAGCAATAGAAAAGGGTAGACATACCCAACCTAAAATTTCTTTGGAAAACAGGATTTGTAAACAATGTACTTTAGCAGACATAGAAGATGAAATGCATCTCCTCATCAA